ACTGAAGTCAGTTGCGTGTTTTTGTTAACATAAGGAGTGTTGTCTTTTCATCTTAATTAAACCTTTCGAAGTAACCATGGATATTAATTGGTTCAGATCAATCGCGTTCCGAATCGAGGATAAGTATCTTTACAGTGACCGCATTTTCGTGTTTCTAATAATCCGGTTTTGTAAAGATGCTTCTCGCTCAACCGTTGTTTGCCATTAAATGGATCACTTCATGGCTTTGAAGGACCACGATATGTGTTCGTTAAATCCTAGGTTTAATTTGATTTACGAGCGCGTATCAAGATCAGTAAACATATTGTCCCGAATAAACACATTTTTGTCAGATTTACACTGGAAAACGGACACTTGTTGTTTCCTGGGTCCCTCAGAACCGTGTAAAACTATTATAATTGAGCATATTCTATTTGCTCAACAGAGCTGCGGAGGCAAATGGCCTGTAGATAAAAAACGGACTATTACTGAATTCTGACAATAAATACATGACTCAAGTCAGATTAGTTCCGCGACGCGGTTAACTGGAACCACGAGCTATCTAAATACAGTTTCAAAAGCTTAATATTATTGTATGTAAGTTATAATTGGTGGCAAATTCAAAATATATTTTGCTTAGAACATCTGCCTCATGACGGACGTGCCCGTGTGAAATAGAAAAAAATAAAATGATCGTCAAAGAGCATGCCGAAGTTTGGACGCCACCATACTTGAGGCATTCTCACGCATTCTGCCGCGGCGGATTAACATCTACTCATAAAGGACGTGTTGAATGTGAGCACAGTGTTTGTTGCCCGTAGTTTGCAAGGTAGCTGAGAAGAAGTACTGCCAGCTCAGCGGTGCTAGCTTAGAGGATGCTTGCAATTTCTGGAGCGCCATGGCGTCTATGAGTTAGCATGATAGGAGTCTAGTATTGGGAGACTCAGATGATATATATATATATATATATACGACATTTATAAGCAAATAAGTACCTTGCAAAAGGTCACCCCGCGTTTCATTTGGCACGATTTCCAGATATTGCGACAGATGCATAGACGTAATAAACTACTCATAAAGTTGCTGGAAATATCTCGACATCCCATGACTGGTTTTGACCTTCTAGTGACTCATCAGGTAGACGCAGTCTACGAGTATTTGTCAACAGCATGTTCAACCCGAATCCATAGCATAACACACGTGAACGTATCTAAACGCCAGCTGCGCACATAACTTATGCAATCAATCGGAAGTTACGGGAGACAGGAGGGAGGAAGTCACGAAAAAATTTGGACTGCCAGGATGATCCACCAAGGTTCGCTAGTCTCTTGTTTGATCATTTATGGAAACCAGGAAGAGGGCAGGCTTCTTTATTCATCTCTAAAACAAAAACTGAGTTGGTTTCACACTGCTTATTGTAAGGGACGGTTTTGTTTAATCTGTGGAATAATTTTTTTTAACAAGTGGACGGATTAACTGCCGTGGGAAAATGCGATTGCGCTCTCGGATGATATTATTGAATGCCTTTTGAGACGCCGAGAACACTAGACGTGTTTTACTAATTTTTCTGGGTAGGGGAATTATTAACCCGTTGTTGATCAGCGCTCGGTGAATAAACTCGATTGTTCAGTTGGAACGAGAATGTAAACTATGAAGGGTAGCCCTATGATATTTTTGTCTATCTAAGATTTTAGTACGATTGTGCTTCTGCCCGAGAAAAGTTAAGCAGTCTCTCTGTAAAAAAGACAAAAATCCTGCAGCTTGACAATCACCCAATGCAAATCACATTCCGTCATCATTAGTGACATCTGAAGTTCAGTTGGTTTCTCCTTTTTGACCAACGGCTTCCTGGGAAAAGATGTACTTTTAATGTTTTTACCAACGGTAACTAAGTCTAGAAATCATTTGGTGAAATGCAGTCTGAATATGAAAAAATAAGTTATAAATTTTTTCAAACTACATAGTGTGCGTTTTCTTTTAAGGGAACGTTGAAACATAAACCTTTACCGATATTCCGTGACTAAGATTACCGTGGCAGAACGCATGCACAATGAAGCGTTCGTTTGAGGTTTTCCCGAATTTCAGGTCCCATAGCGCTTGCACATTTCGATAGTACTTGCCAAAAGTGATTGTCAGACCAGATCAGAGTCAAGTTCCATGACTGATAAATCTGCTCGTTTTGTCCAGCTCCAAATCTATAGAAATAAGTAACATTCATGATTGAATGCATATTCATACAAACCCTGATGTCGAATGATGGCACCAGCAGGTTCAATTTATGTGCTTCTCACCCGATATTCACGCTCATTTTCACATCCAGATTTCAGCCTTCCGAGTGGTGAATTCCGTTAAACTAAGCACGTACTGGAGATAAAAATTGCGCATCAGAGCAAGCAAACTAGCAGGCGGCTATCACGGTGCCACGCGGTTTCGCGCCCGGTTTCTTTTTACTTCTTCGGTCAGATATTAAATCGGATTGCACTCGATGTGCACGTTTTCGGCTTGAATGCCGTAGCATCTTGGGCGTTGTAGTTAGCGCGCACTTATTTCCGACGTTTCGGGCACTTGAGTGTGCAACACGTTCGCTCCCTCCTTTCGAGTACCCGGTGTTTTGGAATACACTGTGAGCAAGTTATTCAACTTTACATATGACGGCGTGACATCGTAGCGTAATTCATTCTACTACAGGCATGTCCTGATGACAAATTGCTTGTAGCAGCCACGATGTTCATTGTGTTATTTCAGGGCTCGTCCCATATGGGCTACCTTCCAGATGACCTTGTGT